AAAAAGATAAGGAGGTGTGAATTTTATTTCAGAATATAAAAAAAGCTTTTAATTCAAAAAATCTAATTATAATAGAAAAAGTACTGAAAAGAATTAAAATTTCTAACTTAACAACAAAATTTTTCTTAAACTTGTATAATAAAAGAAAGATTAAAATTATCACAAAATATGGTTTAATGAAAGAATATGAAGCAGAAGATAAATTAGATCAAGAAAAAATTGTTTTATCTCTTATATAGCAAATATTCTATAACCTATTGTTATATATAATCAGTAAAGAAGAGAATATAAATTATAGAATAGAGCTTAGTTGGCTTTGTAATTTAAAAACAAACAAAATACAGGTATCAAACTGATAACAAGAAGTATTAGCATATGTGAACAATACAACCTGCTTGTAAGCTCAAAAGAAAAAATGCAGAAAATAGTTGATATCTCTATAGAATTTTATGAGCTTAATAATATTAAGATAAACAGCAAAAAATCTGAACTCCTTATATTAAACTCAAAGTATATAAATAAAAAAAAGAATATATATCTTAAGATAGTAATAAGAAAATTTTAAGAGCTAGTAAAAGCTAAATGAGGTAAAGAAGTTATAAGATATCTTGAAATCTAGATATCAGAAAAAGTTAGAAAAGAATATAATGAAGCTATTATCATAAAAGAAGTTGTAAGGATATGTAAAGCAATAAAATAGAAGAAAGTATCTGTAAGTCAATTGGTATACTTGAATAACAGTGTATTTATACCTAATATTGAATATAGACTTCAAATATTATTTCTATCTAAAACCTCATATAAACAAATACAAAGACTTATTTAGACATTAATTAAGAACAAGATAGAGTTAGCAAAGTCTGCTTCAAATAGTATATACATCTATATAAAGATTTTAAACTTATGAACAATTTAACAGAATCAGCTTGCATATCATATTATAAAACTAATGATATAATTAAATAAACAGAATGAAGTAAGACTCATCACAAGACTAAGAGTAAAAGAAGTATAACTAAGCTGCATGAATACAAATAATATCCTTAGCAACTCCAGTAAGCTAGATTACACAAGGCTCAAGTTTAATTTAGATATAAGATAATATATAAAATACTAGTTGAAATTTGCAAAAATGGTACTAAGTCAGCAAATATTCAGCATAATATTCAGCAACTATTTAGTAAACATTCAGTAAACATTCAGCTGCCATTTAGTATAATCGCTACCACTCAATATTTACAAATACTGAGTGGCAGCGATTGTACCAAATAGCAGCTAAATATTTACTGAATATTTACTGAATAGTTGCTAAATGTTGTGCCAAATATTTGCTAATTTAGTGCCGTTTTTGCAAATTTCAACTAGTAAAAGGAAAAAACTATGCTTTAGCTTCCAAAAAAATAGCTTCTATGAAGAAAAGCTAGAGATATTAGATACAAGTATCTCAAGTTTGCTAAATAAAAAGAAGGCTAACAAATATAGAGAAAATAAAAATATAAGTATCTTTATATTTGAATAGCTTATAATGAGTAGTAGTAATAGACTCCTAATATGATAGTAAAATAAGATATATTAAAGACTACAAAGGGTGAGATCATAAGCTATACTGGTTCAAGTATATAGAAAAAAAAGTGATAGACTACATTTTATCAAGATTACTAAAGGAAGAATATTGTATAGCAGAACCAAACCAAAATACAATAAGATATAATAGGCTTATGATATCTAGAGATAAAAAGAAAAAAGAGTAGATTATCTTTGAAAAAAATAGAGACTTTGAGATTGATAAAGTTATAAAAAAGAAAAACAAATAATTTTTAACTGAGTACTGACAAATTGAAGCAAACGAAAGTTTAGAAGAAGTATTAGCTAAAAAGTGTAAAAGATATATTTATAGAAGACAAAATAATACAAGTGATATTATAAGGCAAAAGTTAAAAGCATAGTATCAAGTTCTAAAAAAAGTATCATACAAAAGAAATATGCTATTAACTGAAATAACTATATCAGTTTATACAGAATATAGGAAGCTCTTATATGAAAAAGAAGAAAAATAAGGAAGAGAAGTAGAAATAAAAGTAGTTAGCATAGAAGAGGCAGTAATTCAAAGAGTAATCAGTAATGAGGAGATACAAAGCAAATTAGTAGATATTGTAGAAAGGTTAAAAAAAAAAGAAACTAGATATTTATATAGATAAGTTATTAGTAATAGAGTATAAAGGAGATAGAGAAAAGAAAAAGATGAAAATAGAATAAGTTATAGCTAGTAATGATAGTAGTGAAGATATTATTAGTTTCAAAAATAGAATAGCTAACTGGCTTTTTTCAACTTGAGCTGAATTAGATGTAATATAAACAGTAACTCTAGCAACTCTTGCTAATATAAAAGTAAGAATATACTCAGATAGTAATGTAGCAATTAAAGGAATACAAGAATTTAAGAGCTAGCTGAATATTTCTTAATTTGTAATACAAGCAAATTTGTCTGCATTCATTTTTAATTTTTATAATTTTTAAATAAAATTTTAAATATTAATTTTAAATATATACTTTCTAAATAAAATATATTTTTAATATTTATTTTAACAATTTTGTTAAAAAGTTTTTTAAAATTATTTTAAAATTTTTGAGTAATAAATTTTTAAAGTTTTGCTTTGAAAATTTTTACTAAAAATTTTTAATCAAATTTTTTTAGATTTTATATATAAATAAGACTAAAAATAATTTTTATTTCTAATACAAGTAAGTATAAATTTTTACAAATAAATTACAAAAGTTATAATAATTAAAGTTATAATTCTTTAAAAGTTTTATTAAATTTCTTAATTAATTATACTTCTAAAACTTAAATTAAACAAATTTACCTTGAAATACTGATAAAATTTTTGTAAAAATTTTTTTTATAAAATTAGTTATTTTTAGCTTATATATAACCTTAAATTTTTTTCTTATAATATAAAAACAAATATTGCAAAAAGATAATTCTTATTTTCAAATTTTATTATCTATAATTATTTTTTTAATATTTTTGTATTTTAAAAAAGTAAATCAAAGCTGAATAAATGTAAAAACATAGGTAAATTTGTCTGTATTGATTTACAATCTAAGGGATAAGAAGCATGTTAAAAACCAAGAATTGTAGTTTAATTAACTAAATTTTAGACTGCTACAGAACTAAAAATATTGATTTGAAGCTAATTAAAATCAAAGGCTATAGCATAAATTATTAGAATAATAAAGCTGATATATTAGTTAAAGAAGTTCTTTTATCTAATCTAGTATTAGAAATACAGAATATAATAGCAGATATCATAAGAGTAATACTAACTTGAAAAAGCAAGTTAATAGATAATCCTTTCAGATCTTTTGTCATTATAATTATATCAACATTATACAAATGTAAATGAATAGATCTGAGTAGTATCAAGCCAATACTAGGTCAAACACTAAGTTTGCAAAGTAGTGAAGATTTGAACTAGAAAAACATATAGAGCTTACTAAAGAAGTTACAAAGAAAGAGGTATACGAGTATCTAAAAAAGCAAAGCCCTAATCTTTAGAATAAAGTGTATTAACAAGTTATTACTAACTAAAGATATTTATTTCTAATAAAACCCTAGTTTATATAAAGTAAAACTTGTATAGCATACTTTGCAAAAGAAGAATCCTTAGAACATATTGCAGAATACCAAATATATTAACAAATTTGGAAGAGAATTGAAGGATTTATTATAGAGAGCTTAGTCTAAAGCTTGATAATAAATAGAAAATTTCTATTTTAGATCAAACTCTAAAAGAAGTATTCATAGGATATGATATAGTTAAGATATATAGCAAAAAGAAATTATATATCTGAGACTTAACTAGTAATTAGCTTATAATAGAAGTCAAGATTATTCTAGAATCTAATTTCAAAACTAACAAGGCAATAAGCTAATTTTCAGAGTTATTCTGATCTAATTTTTTCAAAAAGCTATAGAAATTTCACTACAAGGTTATACTAAAGTAAAAAGAAAGAAATAATATCAAATTTAAATAAAAAAAGAAAAAAACAAAGCAGAAATTTAATAAATGGAAAAAAGAAAATATAGTGAATAAAGAAAACCAAAACCTAAATAGGATCAACTATAAAGAAACAAGCAAAGGCAAAGAAGAAAGAATTCAAAATCTAGCTAAAGCTAAGATTCAAATATGAATTGAAAAAGAAGTAAAAGAAAGCTGATTAAGTTTTAAAAATAACTAAGAAATCTTGAAATAGAAACAAAAAAAACTTTCTGTAGATTATTAGAACATGAATTTGCTTAGACAAACTGCTCTGGTAGGAAGAAAATTTACTTTTGCAACTGATCATATTTGGGTATCTAGGATAGCTGAGTAAGTCTAGAATTATAAAAAGAAAGCAATTATGTAGCTAGTTTAAATTAGTTTATATTTTTGTTTTAACATTGTAATGTTTTCTCTTAATAAATAAAGAGCAAGATCATCTAAGTTAAAAAAAAAAAAAATTTATTTGCTAATAACTTAAATTTTTTTAAAATATATTTTTAGTTTAAATTTTAAATTTTATAAATAATCTAATAATCTACATAATTTTATTTGTTTACTAGCACTAACAAATCAGTTTAAATTATACTTTAACTAGAGTTAAATATTTCAATCCGGATATAAATATATCCGAATTGATATTTTATAGTAAAACATAGTAATTATATCCGGATACATCCGAATATAAAAACATAATAAAGTATTAACTCTAACTTTAATCTTAAAATAACCTTCCAAGTATTATATAAAAATCACTAAATTATCTGTTTTTTGAAACTACTTTTAAATTTCTAATATTATATACTATATTTATCAAATCATGAATAGCTTTTATTTTTGTGCAATAATGTTAAAGTTTGTTGGTTTATACACTGTATTAATATCAAATTTACTTGAAAAAATCAGTAAATACAATACATTAAAAAATATAAAAATGAATATAATATGATAAAAACTTTATTGAAATGCGACATCGAAACGTTCTGCCATAACTGGACCACCTCCACTTGCGAATCCAGTACCTAATAAATAAAAAATAAATAGATAAATAAATATCAAATTTAAAATTTTCTACAGAATTCAAATGAATATATATATATATATATTTTTTTTACCTTCACCCGACATATCAGTAATATCTTTACTTCGACATTTTTCATTACAAACAAAACATTGTTTTGAACTTTTAACAAATTTTTCAACACAAGTTTTACAAATAACATGCCCACAACGTTTCATCACTTTGAGTAAAAAAAAAAAAAAAAAAAAGTTAGAACTCAAAGTAAAATATAAATAAATTGATTGAAATGAAAATATTAATAATATTACATACAACAAATTTTAACAGAGTTTGTTAAGGTTTTACGACATGAAGGACAAACAAAACTAGTTTTTTTAGTTTTTGTATCTATATCTTCAGTGAACTTTGTTGGTATAAAATTTTTTACACTAAATTATGTTCAAAATGTTCAAGAGATTAATAATTAAAATAAAAGCAAGTATAATAATAAAAATTGTATAATATGTATATATACCCAAAAGGATGTTCAGGATCAGTGGCTGTACACATAGTCTGTAGTTTCACAGATTTTATTTTATCAGGATCAGCAGAAGGGGTAAGCGACGGCTAGAAACATATATAAAAGTAATATTAATTAAATGTTGAAGTATATAAATAGAAAATATAATTAAGTGGTACATACCAACCAGAAATTAGGTAATTTTGGTTTAGTTGCAGCTGCCTATGATAGAAAAATTTTATTTAAATAATCGAGATCAAAATAAAAAATAAAATCACGATTAATATAATATAATTTAATATAATATAATACCTGTTCATCATCTATTCTCTTCATTGCTTCTTGTTGTTCACGTGTAGCTATTGCTTCAACTTCATCTTCATCGAGATGAAAATCACGTTTTTTTCCGGCTATTAAAGTTAGTTCTTTATCTAAATGTTTTAAGGAAAATATTAAATTTAATTGTAAAACTAATATAATGAATTTTCGAATAAAAAATTTACCTTGAAATGCTTCACTACTCTCTATGGCTTTGACACTTTTTGAGGAGTTAGGAGTATCAATTGTTTTATCAATAGTTTTTGTCAAAGTATCTATTGATAATTTTGTTGATTCATCAGTTTTTGATCCAAATGGAGCGATTCGAACTTGTTGTCTTTCAAAATTATGAATAACTGCTTCTTTAGCTAATTGTTCTTTTCTTTTAGATTCCTCAAGTTCATCTTTTGCTCTTGCTTCTAATAAATTTTGTTGACGTCGGATTTCTTTTTTTTGTGCTAAAAGATTTTCTAATATACATTCTTTACAATATAGATGACCTTGTTCACAACATATAGGATCACGAGCTCTTCGAAGGCAAAGAAAACATGCATCAAATTCTCGCATGGAATCTCGACCTAAACGTTGCTAAAGAAAAAGATTTACAAAAATTACAAAAAGTTCTATAATTACATGGGTTTAATTCAGATCGCGATTATACCTTTTTTGTACCATATTTTAACGCTTTGCCTTCAGCATACGTAAAGAACGAAAGTGCAGTATTGTTTTTACTATGACGCGGCATCTTTTAACCGAAGTTAAGATTAATAGTCTTTATAGTCAATAACTTCTAAAGAGTACGGTAAATGATACGTAAAGATATTCGATACAATGGTTTACGTAGATCTAGTTAAACTTGTTAACTGTTAACAGTTAAATTATCACGGGGAATGTCAACGAAGTTTCACGTGATTAAATATAATGGCATGCAATGCTGCAATGTAACAATGTATTACAAATGAGCAATTTTTTTTTTATTTTTATATATTACAATAGATTCTAACTATTTGTAGGACGTTTAATATAAGGTTTAGAAGGATCCTCAGCCAAAACTTTTGGAGGTTTAAATTCACTATTAAATTTTTTTTTCTTTTTAGTTCCACCATGAGATGAAGAAGTTTTTTTAGTTTGAAAATCTCTCCAATTATTAACTCTTTGTTCTCTAGTTTCTTCCCATAATTTTTCTTCTTCAGCTTTTCTTTTCTTTTCTTTTTCTACTTGTTCAGCTTTTTGAGCTGCTAAACCTTGTGCTTCTAATTCACGTTTTAATAATTTACGTCGACGTAATTCTTGTTCTATTAAAATATCTTTGGTTTTTTGTTTAATTTGTAATTTAAATTCTTTTGTGTTTATAAATGGATCTGTAGATTTTAATTTTTGTTCATTAATTAAAGTTATCTTTGCTTCTTCAATAATTGTTAAAAGAAGTTGTCGTGATTTTTCATTAGATAATTCCGTTTCGGCCTAATAAATATAGTTATAGGTTATATATATATGTTTTAGTTATGTAATACTTAACCAAGTTCATATAATAAAACTTTTTTTTTCCCGTTGAAATAAAAAAAAAAAAAAAAAATTCATTTTTATAATAAAAAAATTCATACCTTTTTCAATAATGAAAATGCTTCTTGAGCTTTTGGATGTTTAGTTTTATCTGGATGAATAAGTAAGGATTTTTTTCTATAAGCATTTTTAATATCTTTTTCAGTACAATCTGAAGCTAGATCAAGAACGTCAAAAGGATTCAATTTGAATGCTGAAAGAATACGTTCAACTTCTTGATCTTTTTGTAGTTGTGTAGCTTCAGTTGCAAGATATTTATCAATGTCAAGATCTTCTGCCATTACTAAAAGATATTATTAAGATATTTTATAAAGATATTATAAAAGGAGTACGTATATAGGAATTAAAAAAAAAGAATGTATACCAAAGTAAAAAAAATATATATATATACGTATATCATACGTATAATGGCGAAATAAGTTATAAATTTATGAACTATTTATAGTTAGTGTAACAAAATAGTCGGAGATGTATAGTGCATATAAATTTTTAGAACATATAATGACAGATTACACCATTCATTTGCTGACACGTTTTTAAGAAATGATAGATAAAAATAACCGATGAATTTTTTGATTTCGGACTTCGAAACTTATTACTCCTCTTTAATACTCTTTAATATTCATATAATCAAAAAATGAGGCGATCTGCCATTTTTTTCGTCTTGGGTCTTTTTACTTTGACAACTTTCACTTCAGCAGAAACATACCTAAAGGAGACGTTTTCCGATAAAGACTGGGAAAAGGTATAACTTAAGGTGATGAGCCAGTTAACTGTGTAGTTGACTAACATATGTTAACTTGTTTCTTTAATAAAAAAATTTTATATATATTTTAATTAGCGTTGGATTAACTCCAAGCATAAGGAAGACCTTGGCACGTTCGTAGTAACACCTGGAGATTTTTATGCGGACGAAATAGAATCTCGCGGTCTTTCAACTTTTGACAATGCAAAATTTTATGCAATTTCTACGAAACTTGATAAAATAATTGATAACTCTGATAAAGATATGGGTAAGTCTTTAATAATTTGAATTAAAGTAATTACTAATATATAATTTAATTATGATTTCTTTTTTTTTAATATAGTGCTTCAATTTTCGGTCAAACATGAACAAGGTATTGACTGCGGTGGAGGTTATGTAAAAGTAAGTATTTGATGAATAATATGAATAATATGAATAATACGTGATATATTAAATAGATCAGTGATTAATTAGCCCTTTATATTTTATTATTAATGTCGCGTTTAGCTTCTTCCTCCAGGTTTTGATGCATTATCTTTTAAAGGAGAATCATTATATAATATTATGTTTGGTGTAAGATAATTATTAAACTTGGATTTATTTAATTGGATAAAATACACCTGACTAATAATACTAATCATGTGATAAAATTTTATTCACGTGACATGATTAACAGCCCGATATTTGTGGAGTGAACCGTAAAGTTCATGTAATTATACATTTCAAGGGAGAAAACAAACAAATAAAAAAGGAAATAAAGGCGAAATGGGATACATTAACACATGTATATACTTTAATAATAAAACCTGACCATGTAAGTTTAGTTATACATATTATTTCATTAGTTATAATTCGTGTTTTGTGTAACTGAGGAAAATTTTCCTTTAATAGACGTATAAAGTTCTTATTGATCTTGAAGAAGAAGTATCCGGAACCTTAGAGGAAGATTTTGATTTACTTCCACCCAAAGAAATTCCAGGTTAGTAATTATTATTATTTTTTTTTTTAATAATAGATTAGATATAACATTAATAATATATCAATATATATATATCAATAGATGCCAATGCTAAAAAACCTGATGATTGGGTTGATGAAGCAGAGATCCCTGATCCGGATGATCATAAACCAAAAGATTGGGTAGACCATCCAGCTACAATTCCTGATCCTGATGCCAAAAAGCCCGACGATTGGGATGGTAAATATCATATATATTTGGAAATATGATTTATAGAATTTTCAGGCATTTTAATTAAAAATATATATATTTAATTTTTTTTTTTTTATTCAAGATGAAATGGATGGAGACTGGGAACCACCACAAGTTTCTAATCCAGAATACAAAGGAGTATGGCAACAAAAGAAGATTCCAAATCCAAAATACAAAGGAGAATGGAAAGCACCTATGATACCAAATCCAGAGTATACACCAGAACCATTACTTCATGCTTACAAAACCGAATATATCGGATTTGATTTGTGGCAAGTGAAAGCTGGTACTATATTTGATAACATCTTGATCACAGATGATTTCAAAGAAGCAGAAGCTTTTGCCCACGAGACATACGTCAAATATAAAGCTAAGGAAAAAGAAGCAAAGAGAATATTGGATGAGATAGAAAAAGGAGAATCCGATGACATATTCGAGGATGAAGACGATAGTAAAGACGATAAGAAAGACGATAAGAAAGACAGTAAGAAAGACGACGATGATGATGACATTATTGATCTAGACGTTAAACTTGGAGATGATGGAGAAGTTAAAGTCACAGCTCCAGACCCCAATTTAGATAAAGATGATAAAAAGCAAAAACCAATTGAAAAAGAAAAATCAGACAAAGAGACAAAAGAGAAAAAAGAAGAGAAAAAGGAAGAGAAAAAGGAAGAGAAAAAAGAAGAGAAAAGAGAAGAGAAAAAAGAAGAGAAAAAAGAAGAGAAAAAAGAAGAGAAAAAAGAAGAGAAAAAGGAAGAGAAAAAGGAAGGAAAAGTTGAAGAGAAAGAAAAACCCAAAGAAGTAAAAGTAGAAAAAGAAAAACCCAAAGAAATAAAAATAGAAAAACCCGAAGTAAAAGTTGAAAAAGAAACCAAAGTAGAAAAAGCGAAAGTTAAAGAAACTAAAGACGAAAAAGATGAAATGGATAAACTACTCGATGACTTTGAAGAAGAATTAGGTCTACCCAAAAAAGAAAAGGGACACAAATTACCAATAAGGGACGAATTTTAATTCTTTATTATAATAAATACATTACATATAATTTATTTAGATATTGTTTTCTATTGATTTTACATTTAATTAAGAGAGAATTTAATGGTTGTTCTAAATCATTTTTAGTAATATAAAAATAAACATTTCTATTAACATTTTAAATATCTATTGTATTCTTATTTAATAACAAGAATGTCAACTTGAAATAAACGTTAGTTTTTTTAATTCAATTTTAATAAAATTATACAGTTTAAACATGAAATAAATATTTGGAGATTGTTCAACCAAATCGATATGCAAATATTTTGAACAACCAAAAGCAGAAAATAAAAAATAACAATTCCATATGATTATGTAACATATTTAATTACAATAATGACAATCAATATTGTCAATAAAATTAATTTAACGAATGAGTTTACTTAGTTTACTTGTGGGGTTTCTATAGGATTTTTATTGGATCAAAAACTCAGGCGTAGGGCTAACATGGAATTTTTTGAACCAATTAATAATTATTAACGCCGTTTTCAGTTTTATTCATCTTAAATAGATGGCGCTGCTTATGACTTTTCCAATTTTGGACAGTTCTCTCCCGATTTATCTTTGTTTTATTTCTTTCGGAAAGCTTAGAATTCTGGACCGGATGCCAGGCTACCTGCATGATTTGAATATTGTCAAACGTCCAATCTTGAATCATGAGGATCTCAGACTTGCACAAGTCACGCTAATCATTGCTCGAAGAATTGTTTTTTGATCAGGGTTCACCATCACATTTACAAGCGTTAGTAAAAATACAATATATAATCATTATCACTTATTATCACACTTTTCAAAAATTAATAATATTACTAGATTTCTCTTTTTTTTTCTAACGCGATTTTTTTTTTTTTAAACAAGTTACGGTAAATCTAATCATGATCAAATTAATTTTAATAAATATAAATTATTATCAGTAATTATTATCACAGATATTTTTAAAAAATTGATTCAAGATCATGGTCGAATTATTACCTCACGATTAAAAAAAAACGTCATACATTTTAGCAACTTTTCACTTTATTTCAAATATTATTAAAGTATCTCCGCATTACTGCATAGGTGCAGACATATTTACGTCATTAGTTAAGAGTTTCATATTAAAAACCGGTTTAACATAATTCTACATAATTCTACTATGTTGTCGTAACTATCGTAACTATATAGAAACACTGTAGGGTCTGCACCTGATACCGTCTATATATATAATGATGAAACCAATTCAAATAATCAAATAATTTTAAACAAAGGGTGATTACGGATTATATATTTATTCAAAACAACTGGTAAAAAATTAGCCGGAATTATTAGGCCGATTTGGAAAGTTTGTTATAATCGATATATCGATATTAGATATCGATATACCTTAATTGATATTATATTACAAATAGTTTACTGGACTGGTTATATATATATATATATATAGTTATACAATTTTTAATAAAATCTTGATTTTTGTTGAATTTTTTTTTTTTGCCTTTCAAGAACTTTTTCTTGTTAAAAAAGTAGTAAAGAAAAGTTATCACCTATTTTTTTTTTTATTTTATTACAAAAGTAATTATTTCACGTATTTAATACTCTTCACATTTTTAAAAACATTTATTATACGTAGCTTAACTTTGTTTTTGTTTTTTTTTTTTTTTTTAACAGTTAAACAAGCTAGCTGTCTTCGGCAATATATATATATATAGTTCATTATTTGTAATATATACATAAGGTACTCCCGGGCTGTGGATTCTTTGATAATAAGCGTTAAAACAACGGACCTTTATTACGATATTAAAAAAAAAGGAACTCTATAAGTTCGACTTATTCAATAAGAAGTTAGGCTATATATACCGAATCTCCCGAATAATAATATCGATTTAAATTTTTTATTCATTCAAACCCGGGATTTATGAAAATAGCAGTAAATGAATCATATAATGATGATATTAATGGGTCATCATCAGTTAATGGAAATGAATTAAAAGAAATGTCAACATCAGAAATGGCTAAAAAGGCGCTTCCACCGATTAGTACTAACTTTAATTCACCAAATTCAAGTTTAGAATTGAATTCAGTAAATTCAATAAATTCAGTAACAAAAAAAAAAGGACATAATCAACGTGTAGCTTCAATAGATGATTATACTTTAACAACTTTACCTAGTCCTGCAACTTCACTTCATAACTTTCCACCAACATCTATAGGTCGTATAGTAAAAGATAAAATTAATTCATCAAATTTAACCGTTGGAAATAAGAAATATCAACATCATCGTACTACTTCGGACACTAATTTACTTATAAACAACCTTTCATCAAAGAATCATACAATTAATGGTAATCATCGTTCAAATGATGATATGGGACCTATGATTGGACATCATATGTTACAACAAAGATTGAAAAAACTTGGATTAGCAAATTATTCAGAATTAATTGGTCATTATGCTGTTTTAAAACTTATCGGAACAGGATCTTTTTCTGAAGTCAAATTAGCTATAGATTTGAAAAATTGTAGAGAAGTAGCGATAAAGATGATCTCCTTGAAAGGAATGCAGGATAATGAGTGTTTGCGAACGGGTGTTTCACGAGAAGTTGAAATTTTAGAGGTAAGATTTAAAGCAAAGATAATAATAATAATTATTTTTTATTATTTAATAAATATTATTAACTATTAATAATTAATTAATTAATTTAATTAATTAATTAATTAATTAATAATAATAATGATGATAATAATAATAAATTAATAATTGATATTTTTATTATATCAGTATATCAATCATCCAAACATCGTCAGTCTACTAGATACTGTTGAGACACCTACACATCTTTGTCTAGTACTTGAATACGTTCCAGGAGGGGAATTATTTGATTACGTAAATGATTATTATGAAAAAATTACAGAAGATGAAGTTAAACATATCTTTCTTCAATTAGTTAATATCATTATCTACCTTCATGAATCAAATATAGTTCATAGAGATCTTAAATTAGAAAACATTTTACTTGATTCAACTAAAAAGCGTATTAAATTAACAGATTTTGGATTAGCTAGATTTATTAAACCAAATTCACCATTATTGACCACTAGATGTGGATCAGAAGAATATGCAGCACCAGAATTAATATCAGCACCATCATATGATGGTAGAAAAACTGATACATGGTCATTAGGAATTATTTTATACGCTTTATTGGTAGGATATTTACCTTTTAATCAAGAAGTTGGACAAACAAGAAAACAATTTTTTAGTAAAATTGTTAGAGCTGATTTTAAATTTCCTAAACAAAACGTTGGTGGTAAACGAGGGATGATTAGTGAAAGTGCAAAAGATTTAGTTAAAAAGATTTTACAAACTATGCCAGAAAGAAGACCTAGTTTAGAAGAAATTAAAAAACATCCTTGGTTAAATGATGTTACTCCTGTATGATTAATTAAATAATAGAACTTTTTTTTTTTTTTTTTTTTTATTAGTTTAAAGTAAATTATCGAAATGTGATATGTATAATAAAATATTAGTAGATATTCTTTAAATTGTAAAAATCAGAATAAAAAAATCAATCTTTTTTTTATATAAATTAATCAAGGATAATCAAGGATTAATTTTTTTATATCATCTTTTTATATAAATTAATCAATGATTTTTTTTATATCATCCTTAAAAGAATCGTTTTAACATAATACATATTTCGTGAAATGGGATCTTGATATGGTCTGCTATTGTAATACAATTGACAATACGTACACATAGTTTCAAATAAAAATATTGAACTAAAAAAAGGTTTTAAACATATGGTTCTAAATTTATTACTGTATTATCTGTATTATCATTTATGATTATCTATCACGAGAATACAATGCATCATATATAAATATGTACAAATATTAATTTTCATAGCGATAGGATTAGATAAAGGATAAACTAAAAGAAGTATTAATTAAAAGGATTAACTAAAAGAAGGATTATAGGAATACTAAACATATTTAACTAATATAGATTAAATGAAAGCAAAGAACTTTTTTGATGAGTCAAATCACATTTTTGTTTGATATAATACCAGATACGTAATTTCCATTGATTGAATACCATACAGGAATATCATAAGATTACCAATGAGTTCAATAGATACTCATACAATAATAATTTTTGTATTATATAAAATACCGCGAATATATTCACTAAACTCTTGCCATGTATTTATGTAACAGATAAATTTATTAAGACGATATATAACTAGTTTTCCATTTAACTGTCTTGTACGTACACATTCGTGTTACCGAATACCTGGTATTCGGTACCACAATAATTATTACAGAATTACAAAGATTTTTAAATACTGTAGAAATAAATAAAAATAATAAATATTCTGCTTAAAATGTTCTTCATATTCATATATTAAAGTTATAAAAATTACTTTCGCTAAATCATGTGAAAGAAACCACTTTAAAAAACTTTTTAAAACTCCTACAATTTTTCTATCAAAATTATTAGGTTTATTTATCGAAATTTTTTTTTTTATCAATTATCGATGAGATGGGCCAATTATATTTCATCATTTCAAAAATTTTTTTCGTTTATTTTTTTCTTTATGCATTATACAGTTATATATTTTAGTGTTGATTAACTTTCTCAATGCATCTGTAAAAATCTTTTGATTTTTATCGCACCACACAATGATTTCGTCATCTCAATTATAATTATTCTACTTCTTTTTTTTTTTACCTTCTTTACTTTCATTATTACAAAGTATTTGTTCCTTTTCTTTTATATTTTTTCGTCGCGAACTCTTTTCAATCGCGTGTGAATGCGTGACAAATTATTAATGATGACTGTGTAACGATAACAATTCAACATTTCTTTCTGATAAGGTAACGGATTCTTATAAAAGAATGTATAAAAGCAATTATTCTCCAATAATAATTATTTTAAATACTGATCTCACGATATATAGCCAGTTTTACTCGTGTTTACGTTATCCCAAAAAAAAAAAAAAAAACTCATTCTCCTTTTTTTTTTATTTTATTTTATTTTTTTTCGTTTTGAGTTATTATCTAAAAGTTCCTAATGGTGGGTAGACCTCCAAATAATCAATCAGAAAAATCTTCTCAAAGCGATCTCCTTCTTTCCGCGTATGACAAATACTCGGATTTAAAACTTAAATATAAAGAATTAAAGAAGGTATGAACTTATAAATTATACAGCATTAAAAAAATAAAGTGTGTTGTTGTTAATCAACGCAATTCGTAATATACCTTCAAACCGATCTAAAGTTTATTTCTTTAAACTATAGAAAAATGCAAATCTTAACGAAGAATGTGAGCGCGCCATCAAAAAGATTAAAAGGTGTAAGGACGAAAGAAAGTATGTTTTGTTATTAACCAAAATATGATTATTATTAATTGTCTATTTTCATTTATTTGATTATTAATTTTTTTTTTTTTTTTTTTTTTTTTTATTATTTTTTTTTAAAAATTAAAAAAGTTCTTTGTTGGCGAAATTAGCAAAGTCTTCAAATGAACCTGAGCCTAAACGTATACGAGTATCCAAACCCAGTACCAAAAATGATAGTTCTGCTGTTATCCCTAAAATTACTTCCACAATGAATAAAAAACATCGTTCCCTTGTAAGAAATATTGTAAATGATGTTCCAATCAAGTCAAAATCTTCGGCTCCAAAACGTGGTCAGGGTCGTGCTCCTGCTGCTCCAAGAAATATGAAAGCATATCTTGTCCCTAAAGATGAGAATGGGAATTTCATTCTTCCTGTTGAAGTTGGCCTTCATACTGTGATTAAACTTGGAAAAATTGTTTATGATCGTGATTCGTTTCATAATGATCGATATATTTATCCTGTTGGTTACGCTGTTAAAAGGTTTATATATTTTTGTGTTTTTTTTTTTTTTTTTGTGTATTATTATATATTTATGTAAATTATACTAACCGAAATAATTAATCTTTAGACCTTACCTTAGTATGATTGATCCCGATAAAAACACAATTTACACTTCTCGAATAGAGGATGGTGAAGATGGTCCAAAGGTAATTTTTTTTAACACAATTCATCCTCTTTTATTCGCGATTTTTTTACCTAAATTATAATGTTTTATTAGTTCATTGTTGAAGCTGAAGATCGTCCGAACCAACCGATTACTGCAACGAGCGCGACTGGTGCTTGGACGCCTGTTATTAAACAAGCTAACATCATCCGTGAACGAAAACATTCTAATGCTGCGTCCGGTCCTGATTATTTTGGTTTATCACAACCTACTATTCGAAAGATGATACAAGAATTACCAAATGCTGAACATTGTAAAAATTATGTCATGCAAATATTTGAATTACATGTCCCGAATGGTGCTGGTAAACATAGTAAAAAACGTTTTTCAAAAAAGTACGATATGGAATCATGTGATATGGAGGCATTTTCGTAATAATTTTTGAATATATATACATATTATTGTAAACAAATGATTGAAAAACTATGTACGATAATTGCCTAAGTCTATGAACGACGCATTTGAAACGCGTTTTTTTCTGTAAACTTTAATATTTGGTAATATTTGGTTGATTTGATATGTATGTTGGATTTCCGAAAACAAAATCGGTTTTTACACTTTCAATAGTTTCATACATCGTAATATTAATTTTATTTTTTAAAAGTTAAAAGATAGGTTTCTTAGTCATAAGTACACTGCTTTTTTTTTATTAAAAAAAATTTTTTTAAACTCTTTGATTTTTTATCTATAATGTTTTTAATATAACACGTATGTTTTGCTTACAAAACGTAAAAATGAAAATGCATGTCTGATATACTGTATATGTCCTTTAAGTTGCATAAATATACAACTTTATTATATCCACATGAATAAATTCCTATTCTATATATATATATATATATATATTATCCTGGGATTACCTATGATGTGACTCAATGAAATATACTCAATGAAATATACTCACATCTACTTAACTAAATAACTTACCTAATAACATCACATTATTAAATTCATTAATAAATAACTTATCCCATAAGTTGTGAATTATCGTCCGGTGGATATTTAGATTGGCAAAATGTCATTAATCGTTTTATTGATTGAATCCATTTACGCGTTGTCTCATCGTTGAGCACATGAGCAACTTGTGCCGAAAAAATCTTTTCACGCGCAGAACGTTCGTGAATACTAATTTAAAATATATAATTAACATATAAATTTTTTAAATAAATTAAATGAACTTTGCATCTATAAAAATGCTTACCCAACCATAGTAACACCTAATTTTAAATAATTAAATGTTATTACTATATGTTTTTTCACAAGTAAATACCTAATGTTAAATTTAATGTTACTTACCAATGGGCCATGGTGCATTCCCAATAGACAATCGCAAATAAGCATCGTTCGCGTTCATATACTCTCGTTTTTGCATATAATGTGTGATTTCAGTTATCCGCGCCAATACGTCTGGTTCAATTGCCTAATAAATATTTTATATACTTTTAACTTTACACTTATTTATTTTATATAAATTAATATCATCATTTTTCTCTTTAGTTAATGTTACCTTTTTTTTTAGTGTTCTAAAGAATGGTTGCATGTATTCATTTGTCTGCATTTGAGTAGCTGCTGCAAATTTTCCTTGAGTGCTTCTCTTTACATGATCTGGTCGATTATTCATTTCTTGTTCCCACTCTCTTAACAAACGCTATATATTATATAATATTAAATTAATAAATTAAATTTTCATAATATATTGTATGTTAATTATAATACGCACTTTGAAGAAAGTGTATATAAGGATATAAAGTTTATCTGGATCCTTTTCAATAAGTTCAACTTCGATTGGTGTATTATCTAAAGGTAAATCTTCAACAGCCCTCTTCTTTTTTGAAGATCTATTAGTATCTTCTTCAGGTTGTTTTTTTAAAACTTCCAAATCTAATCCAGTTTCCATTTCTTCTAAAGTTCTCATAAAATCATTACGTTGCCCTTCTGACCTTTCTTCTATAAGTTCAATTGCTCTTAATCTTGTTTTTCTATCTTTATCTGATTCTCCAAAAAGACGAATCGGTTGTCCTTTCGCTCTTAATCGACGAATCACTTCTTCTTGTGAAATATTAAAAGCATCGCTACCATCGTTCTAAAAATATTCTTTATTTTAGTAATCTAAAAAAAATTCATAAATATTATAAAATATTGTTATTATCAAAAATTATTACCTCTTCCTTTTGCATTTCATTATCAGTTGTAGATTTTTCGGCATTTTCTTGCTCAGTCGGTAACGCAAGCTATTAAACAAAATAAATAAAGTTTTTAGATCAATATTAATTTTAATTGAATGTGTTTTTAATAAATGAAAAGTTTTACTTACCGTTTGATCTTTTGTTTTGCGTTTTTCCTAAAAAATAAAAAATAAACTTTTCATCAATAAAATGAATAATATATCTTTAAAAATAAAGTAACCCTCATCGTAAGCTTTTTACCTCACGTTTTTGCTCTAATTCTGCTTGAGATTTTAAATATTCTTGTTCTCTTTGTTTTTCTAATTCTGCTCGACTAATATATTTCTTTTTTTTAGGTCCTTGATCTTTCGTAATATTTTCTAAAACCTTTCGTTTTTTTTCTATTTCGAATTTTAAACTATTCATGTTTATTTGAAATATTTAATATTTTACCCGCTATTTAATCTTAATATGGGTTATTTGAGTAAGATTTGTACAACTTAAGTTACGTTGTGTCAATCATAAATTATTAACTGTTAACGTTAAGAATTTAAATTAAAATATATCCAAAAGATCATTCTAAAAAAATTTTTTTTTTTTTCGAAGCTATCAAAACTAGGCACTATACTGGAACAATTGTTAGTATAATATTTTCGAATATATATAAATTTTTTTTTATATTTACTTTTTACTTATTAAGAGAAAATATACAAAATATTATAGCAATTATATAAACTAAACTAGTCTAGCTACATAATTGTTTTTTTTCTTTAATTTAAAACAAAACTAATAATTTTTTTTTTAAAATTCAGCAATCATACCAAAGCTTTATTTAAATTTGTTTTTATATAAGAAAAACATCATTGAATAGCTATGTATTCTTCAATGTTTAATTTTTTAAGTTTTAACTTACTTGGTTATCTTATAAATACCTATATGCAATTTGTTATAGTGATCTTTATACTAGATTATTGTTGTTACAATTATATAACTACAACTCTTTAAGTATGAATATTACAGCTTTTCATAACTATTTTATATCTTATTACTAAAAATACTTTTCTTTACTTCAATATTTTTAATTTTTTCTGACTTTTTTTTTAAATCATAATTTCTAATTTTATTTTCAATCTATTTATTAGTATTTGTCTTGTAAAATTTTTTTCTTTTTCTTCTTTTTTTCTAAAATTTTTTACAAGGTTTATTTATATATTGTTAATTTAGAAAAAAAATCTTCTAGATCTGATGATCTTAGTATAGTGGTTAGATTACCAAACTATCATACAAGAGGTTTGGAGTTCAAATCTTACTGTCAATGAATTTGAATAATTACCTGACAGTAAACCCTGTTCATTTCTGGTGCTGTAACCCTGTAAATCATGTTGCACTAATATCATCCAGATATTAGAAGTATGATGAGATGTTTGGCAAGATATAACATTATATGAATAAATTTTGATAGAATCTACAGACAGGGGATCTGCATGGTAGAAATCCAGAGTTGGTAAAGTAGTACGGTCTTCGATAGTCATACCAGCTAATGCTTGATCCAGAAAAGAAAATATCATCGAAAGATACAAATTGAGTTAAGTATATATAAATCCATTCTACAAAGAGAATTGGTAATACCAACTTGGCTTGGCAGCTAATTGGATTAGGAGGATCTGTCTTATAAAATATTCGAGATTATAGAATACAAAAAACTAGTGGAGAGCTACAGTAGAAACTGGAGTTGTATAAACATCTACAAGGGTCTAAACTAGGTGAATCTGTAAAATAGATACAGACTACTCTAGTAGGTATGCTTTGAGGTTAACTGGCTCTACAATACTTATAATATATTAGGTACAATATATCTCAAGAGGATCTAAGCCATTCTGGATAAATAGATCTGTAATGAGCTAGCTAGCTTAAGCGGTTAGATGTTGTGGTGATGTTAAGTTAGATCTGTATAGGTTAATAAACAGAGTATTTAAATAAGTAATTTACAGGCAAGTTACAGGTATGGCAGTATAGTGTAAAACTAATCAGGTAATTTAATCACCTGTGTGACAGACTACTTAAATTAGACAATGACTAAAGTTGTACATGTGGCTTGTTATACACTCTTCATGTAATTATAAACAATAGAGACTATCAATAGATATCCTGTATGCAATTCTAATAAAATTCCTTCAGTAATATAAGTCGCCTTAATAACAAAAAAAAAAAAAAAAAAAAAAGAGAACTTCTTTTTTTTTGATTTTTTTCTACTTTCATATATATTTTTTTTCTAATTCTTTTGTATTTCTTTTTAGTTGTTTTTTAGTATTATTAGTTGAAGTTCTTCCTTAGAGTTATATCTTTTTATTTGACTTTTTTTTTTTTGTTATTAAGGCTACTTCCTTGGCCGATTAGATTTTTATTAGTTTGTTATTACAGAACTATCACATGAATAGTTTCCTAAGGTTTTACAATTACATGATAAGTGTACAACAAGCCACACATACAACTTTAGTCATTATCTAATTTAAGTAGTCTGCCATACAGACGATCGACTATCTGTTGGTTCTATACTATGCTGCTATACCTGCAACTTGCCTGTGAGTTACCTATTTAAACACTCTGATCATTAACCCTTCCTCCCATCCCAAACTAATGTTACCACTATGACCAACTGCTAACGCCAGCTAGTTCATCCGCGGATCCATTTCTCTGCACAGCTTAGGTCCTCTTAGGATGCGTATGCCTAACGTATTGTGAGCCGCAGAGCTCCGGTTAAACTCGTAAGCAATTCCTACCAGAGTGGTCATGTGCCTATTTTACAGATTCACCAGGATTAGACCTTTGTCGATATTCGTACAAACCCAGTTCCTGCTGTAGCTATCCACCAGATATAGTCTTCCAAGTTCCAGCTAGATGTTTTATGAGGTAGATCCTCCTAATCTAGTTAGCTGCTAAGCCAAGTTGGTGTTGCCGCCAATGCAAGGCACCAGGCTGCATTACACAGTGAACTTACTTGTACCTATCGATCTCACATCCTTCATACTCAGGTTTTTCACTGGATCAGGCATTAATCGGCTTGACCGTCGAAATCCATACTACTTCATCAAACTTGAGATTTCTACCATGCAGGTCCCCTGCTCATAGATCCTATCAAGATTTATTCGTGTAATATAACTCAAGTATTGCATCACACTTCCAATGTTTGATTAATATTGGTGCAATATGATTTACAGAGTTGTAACCCTCAGAAACGAGCAGAGTTTACTGTAAGTTAGGTACAAAGGTCTAGGTAATTATTCAATTTCATCGATAGTGGGATTTGAACCCCAGACCTCTTGCATGGCGGTCTGGCAATCTAACCACTACATTAAGATCGCCAGACCTGTCTTTCTAACTATTTTTTCCACTATTAGTATATTTTCTTCTTTTAAAATAACCTATTCTTTCTTTCTTTTATCTATGCTAATTTTCTGCCTACTTGACTTCAAAGCTTCTCTGTTTGTGCTTTGAGTTTTGAAGTTCTCTGCAACTTCTCTTGAGCTGTGATCTGCAAAAACTTCTCTTTTGATTAATTTAAACCAGTTTGGTTTGCGACCTTTTCCCCAACAACCTCTTATTGATTTTATCTGATTCCAGAAGAGTAATTTGTTTCCTTCCTCTTCTAGTAACTGATCTATTGTGAATATGTTTAGGTTTCTACTATCTGTAAAGTCTCTCAGATCTTTGCCTGATAGTAATCTCACTACCTCAATATCTTTTACTTCTATATTGTTTGTATCTGTATGAGTTTCTTGGAATTGAAAACCAAGTTTAGCTATACTTTTGATAATATTATATGTTAAATTGCCTTGAGTTCTTGTTGAGCTAAATATACATCTCTCATCTAGTATACTATATTTAGATTTGCATTTCAATTGAGCATCTTTTAGTCTTAGGTGAGTAGATTTTCCTATTCTATCTTTTTGGTTTAGAGTATTATTAATTCTGTAATATGATGTGCTAGTTGATTTTGCCATATTGATCTTAAGCCTATTAATCTGTTATGGCTGCAGATGCTGTTTGCTACTGATTTTGCTAGGTCAATTTTGTTTTTGATCAGCATCCAAATCAGCTTCTATATTTGGTCATATTTTGATTTTGGTAGGAAGGATGTTTGTAGTCTATATTCAATACTAGGTAGTAAGACACTATTGTTTAGATATATTAGCTAACCAGCTATTGCTTTTTTGAATTTTACTGCTTTGCACATTCTTGCTACTTCTTTTGTGATAATTTTAACATCACATTCACTTTCTCCTTTTTCAGATATCCAGACTCCCAAATATCTTATTGCTTCTGATTTCCTTTTCGCATAAATGATATCTTTATTTTTTCTTACTTTTATGACAAGCCTTGTATCTTCTTTGTTTTGTTTTGCGTTTAGTATGAGCAGTTCTAATTTTTTTCTATTAATTTCTATATGTTCAACTCGTAGAATTTATCAGAGATTTTAATAATTTCGCAAAGTTCTTTTTCTGATCTGGCTACCCATATAGTATTATCTACACATGCTAGGACACCTTGTCTCCAACTTATTTCTTGAGTTTCGTTATGATTTAAATTTGTAGACCATTTTAAACTCATTTTATAACCCATCTTCTTCTGGTCTTAGATTACGTATAAGAGTGAGTTATAGAAGATTCGCCATAATAGGAGTGAGACAACTTCTCCTTGGTCTAGGCCATCCTCTGCTGTGAATTCTTGTGTTAAGCCATAACTCGTGATCATTTTGATTCTTCTTGTCTTGAATAAATTTAGTAAGAAGGTTCTTGTGATTTCTGGGAGTTTTATTCTTTTCAATGCTTTTTCTAGCATAGTTAGGCTTACAGAATCGAATGCATTTTTCATATCCTGAAAGAGGATCCATATTTCCTTATTTTTCTCTTTTACCTCCTCTATTAGATTATTCATTATATGAATTGGGCTGCTCATATTGCTTCCTGATAGACCTGCAAAGTTTGGACCTTTTAGAATATTAAACTCTGTAAGTGCTTTGTCTAGTTTCTTGCCTATTATGCATACTACCACTTTTCGAAAAGCTTCTAAAAGCACGATTAGTCTAATATTAGACAAGTTATAATTCCAATTTTCTCCCTTTGGAATTGGATATAATTGACTGATCTTCCATTTTACAGGAATGTCTCCTTTTTGAATACATTTGCTTGCTAAGGTTAAGAAGACTGTTCAGGCTATGTAGCCTGTTTTTTTTATTAGAGAGTAGGTGATTCCAGATATACCTGATGCTAATTTAGACTTGACGCCCTTGAGGACCTCTTGCCATTCTTGCTCAGTTGCTTCTCTACTAAGTGTTGAGTATATTTCCTCATTTATCTCATCTATAGGTCTGTATGCTTCGACCTATTTGCTTATGAATTTGTTATTCTTGATCTGTCTTTTTCGAA